ACCACTGGACCACACTGGACCACTGAACCACTGACCACTGGACCACTGGACCCCACTCGACCATGGACCACTGGGACCACTGACCACTGGGACAACCCACTGGACCACTGGACCACTGGACCACTCGACCACTGGACCACTGGACCACTCGACCACTGGACCACTCGACCACTGGACCACTGGACCACTCGACCACTGGGACCACTGGACCACTCGACCACTGGACCACTGGACACTACCACTCGACCACTGGCCCTCCCCACTGACCACTGGACCACTGGACCACTGACCACTGGACCACTCGACCACTGGACCACTGGACCACTGGACCACTCGACCACTGGACCACTGGACCACTGGACCACTGGACCACTGGACCACTGGACCACTGGACCACTGGACCACTGGACCACTGGACCACTGGACCACTGGACCACTGGACCACTCGACCACTGGACCACTGGACCACTGGACCACTGGACCACTGGACCACTGGACCACTGGACCACTCGACCACTGGACCACTGGACCACTGGACCACTGGACCACTCGACCACTGGACCACTGGACCACTCGACCACTGGACCACTGGACCACTCGACCACTGGACCACTCGAACACTGGACCACTCGACCACTGGACCACTGGACCACTGGACCACTCGACCACTGGACCACTGGACCACTGGACCACTCGACCACTGGACCACTCAACCACTGGACCACTGGACCACTGGACCACTCGACCACTGGACCACTCGACCACTGGACCACTGGACCACTCGACCAGTGGACCACTCGACCACTGGACCACTGGACCACTGGACCACTGGACCACTCGACCACACTCGGACCCACTGGACCACTGGACCACTGGACCACTGGACCACTGGACCGCTGGACCACTGCGACCACTGGATCCACTGGACCCACTCGGACCACTCGACCACTCGGACCACTGGACCCACTGGACCACTGGACCACTCGACCACTGGACCACTGGACCACTGGGACCACTGGAGCCGACACTGGACCCACTGGGAACCACTCGACCCCTCACTGGGACACGCTGGAACCACTGGACCAGTGGGACCACTCGACCACTGGACCACTGGACCACTCGACCAGTGGACCACTCGACCACTGGACCACTGGACCACTCGACCACTGGACCAACTGGACCACTGGACCCACTCGACCACTGGACCACTGGACCACTGGACCTGACCACTGGACCACTGGACCACTGGACCACTGGACCACTGGGACCACTCGACCACTGGACCACTGGACCACTGGACCACTCGACCACTGGACCACTGGACCACTCGACCACTGGACCACTCGACCACTGGACCACTCGACCACTGGACCACTCGACCACTGGACCACTCGACCACTGGACCACTGGACCACTGGACCCACTCGGACCACCTGGACCACTGGACCGCTGGACCACTCGACCACTGGACCACTGGACCACTGGACCACTGGACCACTCGACCACTCGACCACTGGACCAGTGGACCAGTGGACCAGTGGAACAGTGGACCAGTGGACCAGTGGACCAATGGACCAGTGGACCACTCGACCACTGGACCACTGGACCAGTGGACCACTGGACCTCTGGACCACTGGACCACTCGACCACTCGACCACTGGACCACTCGACCACTGGACCACTCGACCACTGGACCACTCGACCACTGGACCTCTGGACCACTGGACCACTCGACCACTCGACCACTGGACCACTGGACCACTCGACCACTCGACCACTGGACCACTCGACCACTGGACCACTCGACCACTGGACCACTGGACCACTGGACCACTCGACCACTGGACCTCTGGACCACTCGACCACTGGACCACTGGACCACTGGACCACTGGACCACTGGACCACTGGACCACTGGACCACTCGACCACTCGACCACTTGACCACTGGACCACTCGACCACTGGACCACTGGACCACTCGACCACTCGACCACTCGACCACTCGACCACTCGACCACTGGACCACTGGACCACTGGACCACTGGACCACTGGACCACTGGATCACTGGACCACTGGACCACTGGACCACTGGACCACTGGACCTCTGGACCACTGGACCACTCGACCACTCGACCACTGGACCACTGGACCACTGGACCACTGGACCACTGGACCACTGGACCAGTGGACCACTCGACCACTGGACCACTGGACCACTCGACCACTCGACCACTGGACCACTCGACCACTGGACCACTCGACCACTGGACCACTCGACCACTGGACCAGTCGACCACTGGACTACTGGACCACTCGACCACTCGACCACTCGACCACTGGACCACTGGACCACTGGACCACTGGACCACTAGACCACTGGACCACTGGACCACTGGACCACTGGACCACTGGACCACTGGACCACTGGACCACTCGACCACTCGACCACTGGACCACTGGACCCACTGGACCACTGCACTGGACCACTGGACCACTCGACCACTCGACCACTGGACCACTGGACCACTGGACCACTGGACCACTCGACCACTGGACCACTGGACCACTGGACCACTCGACCACTGGACCACTGGACCACTCGACCACTGGACCACTCGAACACTGGACCACTCGACCACTGGACCACTCGACCACTGGACCACTCGACCACTGGACCACTGGACCACTCGACCACTGGACCACTGGACCACTGGACCACTGGATCACTGGACCACTGGACCACTGGACCACTGGACCACTGGACCACTGGATCACTGGACCACTCGACCACTGGACCACTGGACCAGTGGACCAGTGGACCAGTGGACCACTGGACCACTGGACCACTGGACCACTGGACCACTCGACCACTGGACCACTGGACCACTCGACCACTGGACCACTGGACCACTGGACCACTCGACCACTGGACCACTGGACCACTGGACCACTCGACCACTGGACCACTCAACCACTGGACCACTCGACCACTGGACCACTCGACCACTGGACCACTCGACCACTGGACCACTGGACCACTGGACCACTGGACCACTGGACCACTGGACCACTGGACCACTGGACCACTGGACCACTCGACCACTGGACCACTGGACCACTGGACCACTCGACCACTGGACCACTGGACCGCTGGACCACTCGACCACTGGACCACTGGACCACTGGACCACTGGACCACTCGACCACTCGACCACTGGACCAGTGGACCAGTGGACCAGTGGAACAGTGGACCAGTGGACCAGTGGACCAATGGACCAGTGGACCACTCGACCACTGGACCACTGGACCAGTGGACCACTGGACCTCTGGACCACTGGACCACTCGACCACTCGACCACTGGACCACTCGACCACTGGACCACTCGACCACTGGACCACTCGACCACTGGACCTCTGGACCACTGGACCACTCGACCACTCGACCACTGGACCACTGGACCACTGGACCACTCGACCACTGGACCACTCGACCACTGGACCACTCGACCACTGGACCACTGGACCACTGGACCACTGGACCTCTGGACCACTCGACCACTGGACCACTGGACCACTGGACCACTGGACCACTGGACCACTGGACCACTGGACCACTCGACCACTCGACCACTTGACCACTGGACCACTCGACCACTGGACCACTGGACCACTCGACCACTCGACCACTCGACCACTCGACCACTCGACCACTGGACCACTGGACCACTGGACCACTGGACCACTGGACCACTGGATCACTGGACCACTGGACCACTGGACCACTGGACCACTGGACCTCTGGACCACTGGACCACTCGACCACTCGACCACTGGACCACTGGACCACTGGACCACTGGACCACTGGACCACTGGACCACTGGACCAGTGGACCACTCGACCACTGGACCACTGGACCACTCGACCACTAGACCACTGGACCACTCGACCACTGGACCACTCGACCACTGGACCACTCGACCACTGGACCAGTCGACCACTGGACTACTGGACCACTCGACCACTCGACCACTCGACCACTGGACCACTGGACCACTGGACCACTGGACCACTGGACCACTGGACCACTAGACCACTGGACCACTGGACCACTGGACCACTGGACCACTGGACCACTCGACCACTCGACCACTGGACCACTGGACCACTGGACCACTGGACCACTGGACCACTCGACCACTCGACCACTGGACCACTGGACCACTGGACCAGTGGACCACTCGACCACTGGACCACTGGACCACTGGACCACTCGACCACTGGACCACTGGACCACTCGACCACTGGACCACTCGAACACTGGACCACTCGACCACTGGACCACTCGACCACTGGACCACTCGACCACTGGACCACTGGACCACTGGACCACTGGACCACTGGACCACTGGATCACTGGACCACTGGACCACTGGACCACTGGACCACTGGACCACTGGATCACTGGACCACTCGACCACTGGACCACTGGACCAGTGGACCAGTGGACCAGTGGACCACTGGACCACTGGACCACTGGACCACTGGACCACTCGACCACTGGACCACTGGACCACTCGACCACTGGACCACTGGACCACTGGACCACTCGACCACTGGACCACTGGACCACTGGACCACTCGACCACTGGACCACTCAACCACTGGACCACTCGACCACTGGACCACTCGACCACTGGACCACTCGACCACTGGACCAGTGGACCACTGGACCACTGGACCACTGGACCACTGGACCACTGGACCACTGGACCACTGGACCACTCGACCACTGGACCACTGGACCACTGGACCACTCGACCACTGGACCACTGGACCACTGGACCACTGGACCTCTGGTCCACTGGACCACTCGACCACTCGACCACTGGACCTAAGTGGGCAAATTCGTTGGGGTCCCCCAGCGTTTTGCGTAAATTCGTAAGTGTAAATTCGCAAACGCGAATTTACCTGAAATTCCCGAAACGCTGGGGACAAATTTTCGGGGCATCCCGGACAAAAAAACACAAAAATTTCCACTCGATTCGCGACGACTTGGCGATGCCATCCGTGGCCTCGCCAATTCGCGATTCTAACTTTTGAACCTTCTAACATGCACCCAACCTCTCCCACGCTCCCAACCGCATCAAACCCCCCCGCATCTAGAGATCCCAACCCATCCACCACCCAACTTACGCAACCATATCACGCACGCATCTCCGCGCTAGTAGATCTAGTTTACGCGCAGATGTGAGCTTACCTCACAAGAATCCAAGAAGCGATGTCGGACCTCCTAGATCAGGGCCCTAGTGGGGACGCGACAGTCGATGCGTCAGGTGAGGCCTCTTCGTCCACCCCTTTCATTGGAGATGATAAGCACGTAATCTTTCAGCATTTTAAGTTTAAGAGCAAGGAAATGGGTAGGGTGCAGCGCTACTGGTGCAAGCACTGCGGAGCGGACTTCATGGGCACCGCATCTCGTTGCGCTCAACACCTTACGGATTGGGAGGGCATGGGCAAGCGTGGAGTGCGCAAATGCATTGAAGCCCCTACGGATGCGCGCGCAGCCGTGCGCGCTTTCCAGGAGGCCAAGGTGGACTCCCGTGCCGCTCAGGATCGCGCTGATATGGATGCCCTTGAGGCGGTCAGCGGCGCCAGCGCCAGCAGCAAGCGCGGGCGTATTGGCGAGTACATGAGCGGGAGCGTGCTGGCGAAGAAGGGAGCGGATGAAGCCATCTGCCTCTTGTTCGCCGGCCTCCGCCTCCCCGAGCGCCATGCCGATCATCCGCTTTGGCGCAATGCCGTGCGGAGCATTGCGAGGGCGGGTAATGGCTATGTGCCCCCGTCACGCAAGTACATCGGCGGAGCAGGGCTGCAGCAATGCCGCCGCCGGATCGAGGACGCTCTGATCGGGATTTCCGAGAGCTGGAGCGCCACTGGCGTCACCATTGCGAGCGACATGATGACTGACCGGCGCGGCCGCCCGCAGGCGAACATAATGCTCGTCAACGACAGCGGCGCCGTCTTCGCCGAGAGCGTCGACTGCAAGATGGAGAAAAAAACAGGCGGCTACATTGCCGGCTTCCTGCGGCCGATCGTGGAGAAGCTGGGCGCCGCGAACGTCGTTGCCTTCTGCACTGACGGCGGCAGCAACTACTACAGCGCCTGCAAACTACTGATTCAGGAGTTCCCCAAGATTGAGCACGTGCCTTGCGCCACGCACGTGCTCGATCTGCTGATGGAGGACGTGGGGAAGCTCCCTTGGGCCGCTGGCGTGGTGAAGGAGGCGAGCGATATTATCACGTACATGCGCAGCCACCACTGGACCCGCCAGTACGTTGAAAATCCCGACGTCGCGGGGGGAAAGGGGCTACAGGTGCTGAGGCCTGCAGGGACTCGCTTCGGGACACAGTACATTGCTGTGTCCCGCCTTGTTGCCGTGCACGAGATCCTGGAGGGAATGGTGGTGAGTGAGCTGTGGAAGAAGAATTGGGCGGTGGGGTCGAGGAAGGCAGCAGCAGATGCGTTCAAGAAGCAGATCTTGGATGAGAAGAATGAGTGGTGGCCCAAGGCGGAGCTCTTCACTAGGGTGCTGGAGCTCCCATTCAATGTCATGCGGGCGACAGACACAGAGAAGAAGGGGATGATGGGAAGCCTGTATGACAAGATGCTGCTGCTTACAGAGCAAATGGAGGCGTTGCTGAAGAAGGAGACCCACGAGGTGCTGACGTCGACGGCTAAGAGTGCTATTAATGAGATCGTGACAGCGCGTTGGGATGGGAGCCTGGCCTGCCCGCTGCATGTGGTTGGTCGGATTCTTAATCCGATCAACCAGTCAGCGGACATATTCGGCCCCGACGTGGAGTGCACGAACGTGTTCAAGGATTTTGTGCAGCGCCACTACGAGGGGGTCATGGTCCCTCAGAAGAGGGGACCGCCCAAGCGTGCAACCCTTGTCATACAGGAGGGGCTGGCGGATTACTTGGAGTTGAGGGGGAGCTTTGGCAAGAAGGAGGCCATTACTGACCGGCAGTTGGTCAAGGAGGGCACGCACACCATGAAGGCATGGTGGCGGTGGCACGGCACCGACCACCCCTTGCTCACGGCACTTGCACACCGTGTGCTGACACAGCCTGTGTCGGCTGCCTCCTGCGAGCGCAACTGGGCGGTGTGGGATGCTATCCACACCGCCCGGCGCAACAGGTTGGGGTCTCAGAAGCTGTCGGATTTGGTGTATGTTGCGCACAACTGGAACGTTGTGCGCAACTGGCATGAGGAGGGGATGGGGGTGGTGGTTGGGAACATCCCTGACCCGCCTCTCCCCGCAGGGTACAAGGAGTTAGATGAGGAGGCATTGAGGGAGGAGGAGGAGGGGGATGATGCGGAGCTGCTAGATGAGTACATGTAGAGGGGAGCATGGTAGGGGGGGTTGGGTGGGGGATGTGTGAGTATGGTTTCTAATGGTGCTGTAGGTTGCTGCCGGGCTGTTGTTGCGAAGGATCCCCCCCAAACTCTCGAACATGCTATTGCCATAACTTTGAGAAGCAATATATATTTTGTGCTAAATTTTTCTTGTTTGAAAGAGTTGCCCTGAAACCCCCCATGCCCCCCCTACCTGGGAAATTTTTTTTGGGCCTGCCCGGGTTTTTTTTTCCTGCCCGGGCGGAACGAATTTCCTAACGAATTTAAAACAGGGCCCTGGCGTTCGGCGAATTTACGCCAGCGTAAATTCGTCAGCAAATTTACGCGAAACGCGAATTTTCCCACTTAGCACTGGACCACTGGACCACTGGACCACTGGACCACTGGACCACTCGACCACTGGACCACTGGACCACTGGACCACTCGACCACTGGACCACTCGACCACTGGACCACTCGACCACTGGACCACTCGACCAGTGGACCACTCGACCACTGGACCACTGGACCACTCGACCACTGGACCACTGGTCCAGTGGTCCAGAGCGTCCTCGATCCGGCGGCGGCATTGCTGCAGCCCTGCTCCGCCGATGTACTTGCGTGACGGGGGCACATAGCCATTACCCGCCCTCGCAATGCTCCGCACGGCATTGCGCCAAAGCGGATGATCGGCATGGCGCTCGGGGAGGCGGAGGCCGGCGAACAAGAGGCAGATGGCTTCATCCGCTCCCTTCTTCGCCAGCACGCTCCCGCTCATGTACTCGCCAATACGCCCGCGCTTGCTGCTGGCGCTGGCGCCGCTGACCGCCTCAAGGGCATCCATATCAGCGCGATCCTGAGCGGCACGGGAGTCCACCTTGGCCTCCTGGAAAGCGCGCACGGCTGCGCGCGCATCCGTAGGGGCTTCAATGCATTTGCGCACTCCACGCTTGCCCATGCCCTCCCAATCCGTAAGGTGTTGAGCGCAACGAGATGCGGTGCCCATGAAGTCCGCTCCGCAGTGCTTGCACCAGTAGCGCTGCACCCTACCCATTTCCTTGCTCTTAAACTTAAAATGCTGAAAGATTACGTGCTTATCATCTCCAATGAAAGGGGTGGACGAAGAGGCCTCACCTGACGCATCGACTGTCGCGTCCCCACTAGGGCCCTGATCTAGGAGGTCCGACATCGCTTCTTGGATTCTTGTGAGGTAAGCTCACATCTGCGCGTAAACTAGATCTACTAGCGCGGAGATGCGTGCGTGATATGGTTGCGTAAGTTGGGTGGTGGATGGGTTGGGATCTCTAGATGCGGGGGGGTTTGATGCGGTTGGGAGCGTGGGAGAGGTTGGGTGCATGTTAGAAGGTTCAAAAGTTAGAATCGCGAATTGGCGAGGCCACGGATGGCATCGCCAAGTCGTCGCGAATCGAGTGGAAATTTTTGTGTTTTTTTGTCCGGGCTGCCCCGAAAATTTGTCCCCAGCGTTTCGCGAATTTCAGGTAAATTCGCGTTTGCGAATTTACGCTTACGAATTTACGCAAAACGCTGGGGGACCCCAACGAATTTGCCCACTTAGCTGGACCACTCGACCACTGGACCACTCGACCACTGGACCACTCGACCACTGGACCAGTCGACCACTGGACTACTGGACCACTCGACCACTCGACCACTCGACCACTCGACCACTGGACCACTGGACCACTCGACCACTGGACCACTGGACCACTGGACCACTCGACCACTCGACCACTGGACCACTCGACCACTGGACCACTGGACCACTGGACCACTCGACCACTGGACCACTGGACCACTGGACCACTGGACCACTGGACCACTCGACCACTCGACCACTGGACCACTGGACCACTGGACCACTGGACCACTGGACCACTGGACCACTGGACCACTGGACCACTGGACCACTGGACCACTGGACCACTGGACCACTCGACCACTGGACCACTGGACCACTGGACCACTGGACCACTCGACCAGTGGACCACTGGACCACTGGACCAGTGGACCTGTGGACCAGTGGACCAGTGGACCAGTGGACCAGTGGACCAGTGGACCAGTGGACCAGTGGACCAGTGGACCAGTGGACCAGTGGACCAGTGGACCAGTGGACCAGTGGACCAGTGGACCAGTGGACCAGTGGACCAGTGGACCAGTGGACCAGTGGACCAGTGGACCAGTGGACCAGTGGACCAGTGGACCAGTGGACCAGTGGACCAGTGGACCAGTGGACCAGTGGACCAGTGGGCCAGTGGGCCAGTGGGCCAGTGGGCCAGTGGACCAGTGGACCAGTGGACCAGTGGACCAGTGGACCAGTGGACCAGTGGACCAGTGGACCAGTGGACCAGTGGACCAGTGGACCAGTGGACCAGTGGGCCAGTGGGCCAGTGGACCAGTGGACCAGTGGACCAGTGGACCAGTGGACCAGTGGACCAGTGGGCCAGTGGGCCAGTGGGCCAGTGGACCAGTGGACCAGTGGACCAGTGGACCAGTGGACCAGTGGACCAGTGGACCAGTGGACCAGTGGACCAGTGGTTCAAAGTATGTGTGCGACTAAATGTGCCCAGAAGAGTCGACTCAAAGATGGGCTCATTGCACGGTGACAAGGATGGAGGGCAGGGTTCAGTGTTTTTTGTCAGTCATTTGCTAAAAGTTTTTTGTTTACACTGCTGCTCATCTCTATCATGGCTTACCAAGTGATTGGGTGAGGGCAGGGTTCAGGGGTGAGGGCTTATGGGCCCAAGGAGAATGATGTCATGCATAGCCATACTAGTTGGTCCCTGCCTGTTTAATGTTTGGCGCTTGTTATTCGTTGTTTGTTGTTGTTGTTGCATTAACCCACTCGGTGTCATTCAAGTGCTGCTGACTGTGTGTGGCAGGAGGACCTTTGTACCTCCCTCCCTCCATTATGTGAATGCCCTCTCTCGCACCACTATGATGCTGGCTCCTCCTCCTTTGTGCTGGCTCTAACACCACGTGCAATGTCACTGTGCGTGGCAGGAGGACCTTCGAGCTGACCTCTTTGTCCACTGGTGGAAGCGAAGCATTGCCGAGACGTGAGTGCTCCACTCTCACTCACACCTCTCAACCACCCAACGACCCACCCCCCTGCATACAACTCACTTGCCTTGTATCAACCATGTCCCAAGCATTCCGTCATGGCCTCTTTGGCACTGGTGGACGCGGGGCATCACCCAGAGGCTAGTGTGATTACTCATGCATCATGATTGCTCATGCCTCATGATTACTCATGCATCATGATTACTCGTGCATAATGATTACTCCTGCATCATGATTACTCGTGCAACATGATTACTCATGCTTACTCGTGCATCATGATTACTCATGCATCAAGAGACCTCATGGCACATCGTTTTTACTCATGCCCATCATTGCACAGTAAAGTGATATCCATCATGCAACTTGGGCACCAATTGCTCTGATTACCTCTCCTCTTTGTGCTCTCACCCTCGCCCGCTTTGCAGCCCCATTCTTCCGCACAGCCACAGCTTTATAGCGAAGCTGCTGGATATGCTTGTACTGAGGCACGTGTCGCCCGGCGAGTACATCTCAGCGGAGGGCGAGATTAGCCGCCACCTGTACATCGTGCGATCTGGCACCGTTGATGCCACGTGGATCAAGACACAGGGGGGCGAGGGGGAGGGTGGAGAGGGGGAGGCTGGAGGGGGGGAGAGTAGGGAGGAGGAAGAGGAGGATGAGGGCGAGGAAGAACTGGACGAGGAGGGGGAGGATGAGGAGGGAGATGAGGATGGTGATGGGGAAGGGGGAAGGGGAGAGAGAGGAGGAGGTGGAGGAGCGAGTGGGACGAGAGCGGTTACGATCGAAGAGGAGTTTGAAGAGGAGTTGAATGCGATTGAGATGGAAAAGCAGGAAAGGCAGGAAAGGCTGGAAGAGCAGCAAGAGCAGCAAGAGCAGCAAGAGCAGCATCCCTTTGTCCCTTCCAACCCCTCGGCCGTTCTCCTCCGCTCCGACTCGCAGCGCCGCCAGCGCCAGCTCCAGATATCCCTCTCCCTCGGCTCTACCTCCGGGCGCACCCTCAAGACACCTGCCATTTTCGAGGGTAGTCCCGCAACCGCCCCAATCCCCCACAAGAACCCGCTAGCACTAGCAGCAGCAGCAGCGATAACTGCAGGAGTGGGGGAAGCGCCAAGGAACCCGCTAGAAGTGGCGATGGAGCAGGGGGGGGGGAAGGTGGAGCTGCAGCACCGGGCGGTGGAGGCGGGGTTTGTGATGGGCATGGATGGGCTGCTAGAGGCGTTCGAGCTGCGCATGGGGGAGGACGAGTGGCCCAAGCAGCGGGTGGCTTTCATCTGCGTTGAAGCCACGTTTCAGGTGAGGGTGGGAGGGAGGGGGGAGGGGCGGGGAGGGGGGGGAAGGGGAGGGGGGGAGGGGGAGGGGGGGGTGGCGTTAGGGGGAGCGTGAGGGGTTTGTGATGGGCATGGAGGAGCTGCTAGAGGCGTTTGAGCTGCGCATGGGGGACCAAGGTGGCTCTGATCTGTGTTGAGGCCATGTTTCAGTGTGAGGGTGGGGGGGGGATAGGGGGGAAGGGGGTGAAGGAGGGACATCAGGGGAGCCTCTGCTGCTGCTACTAGTTGATCTATTCAACACGCTAGAGAGCTTCCTCAGCTGCTGCCCGAAATGCGCTTTAAAAGACACATCCTCTCCCCTTCCCTCCCTTCCGCTCCCCTGCCCTCCCCTGCCCTCCCCCCAGGCCAAGACGGAGTGTGAGTTGCTACTGTTGCTGCTAGACGACCTGTTTGACACCCTAGAGAGCTTCCCCCAGCTGCTGCACGACATGCGCTTCGCCCTGCGCCTGCCCATGGGCCTGCACGAGGAGCAGGTGCACCCTTTGCTCTCGAGAAGCCGCGCTGTCGTCATGTCCGCTTCAATGCGGGTGATGATGAGCGAGTGATGACAAGGTTTGGCTTTATTGGCGCCAGATTCCTGCTGTCTCGGATCGCTTCCTTTCTTTAGAAAGGAATAACTATGGCAAATGGCTGGGTAATAAATATTGGAGTGCCAACCTCCATCCCTACTTGTTGTAGAACCTATATGTGCAGTACTCGCAATTCTATAAATTAGCACGTGTTGTATTTAAGTGTAGTTTTGCCTTTAGACGGGTTTATTAGAGGTCAACGTGGCTCTCGTTTTTATGAGCTGGGCTCAAGTGTATTTCGTGCGAGTGACGTAGTGCTGCATAATTTGGCCTCACGAATAATCACCAATGAGGGAGCCTTCTATGCCCAAACCAATGGTCACGAGATCCTGTTCGTGGTCGGAGTCGACGGCGACTGGTTGTGCGTGATTGCGTGGCATATTCCACCTTCTTGCGCCGTCAGATTCTGTTGTACCAGCATCTCAATTCGTTGGATACTTTTACGGTTTGATTCGCGCGCATCATCGACGAATCTGACAGGGCCACCTGACCAAACGAACAGCCAATCTTCATTATGGAAAGCTCAACGTCTGGTGCGGCACGAGGCTTGGAATCCCTTCCAAACCAAGCCGAATCAAGAGCTCTGACGTGATTTGTACCGAACCGGAGGCTATACCTGTCGTTTGGGAGCGCACACGCGGCCCCCGAACCTCGATCTTGCCGCATCAGGTCAGGCCAGTCAGGTATGCCACAATGAATTCGCAGAATTAACACCACCAGGTAGGAAGAGCCTCCTAGACCGTCTTCTGACAGACTAGTACGAGTCTGTTTGTATGACCCATGTTCCACCAGCCTCCTGAAACCTGAGTAGATTGACTGGTGCTGGAGGCGACTAGTCGAATGTATGAAGGCTCCGATCCCGCAAACTAAAGCCGTGTGTGATTTCTCCCGCTGCTGATCTGGCACGGATACAGATCCTCACGAATTTGTAAATTCGCCGATCTTTCTTCCAATTCGCTGAACCAGCGCTCTCCTCTTCCCGCCGCCAGTCAGCTTCAATCCCGCTGAGCTACCAGCTGCTTAGCAGCTCCGGCAGTTCCTGCCATGTCTCTCCAACTCGCTGCATGCCACGCTGCTGGGACTGGCATCTCCGCCACGCTTATAACTACCACCCAATTCGCCGATGTCTTGAGCGTTTCCCTCGCCGTGAAGCCCGCTCGCAGACTCACATCGCGTGCACTGCGGCGAGCGTCTCACAGCAATTCCAGTTCGGCCAAGCCAGGCCGGCCTGCCCCCGCGGCCGCAATTTCCGGGTCAATTTCTGGAGAATTGGAGGGTGATAATGATGCTCCTGCAGAAGCAGCAAGCCCGAATTTGGCATTAAAGCCGGAGGATCCAGGTCTTGCCATGGATGGTTCTTCGCAAGGAGCTCCATCGGCTCAAGTAGGACTGGAACAATCAGGACCAGTTGTAGCGGGGTCGGCTGTAGTGGAGTCGGCTGTAGCGGAGTCGGCTGTAGCAGGTTCAGCTGTAGGAACCCCGGCTGTAGTGGCGTCGGCTGTAGCAGAGACGGCTGTAGCGGGCCCGAGCGAGCTGGTGGAGGACGGCGCGGTGATCGTGAGAGACGACCTGGACGAGCTGTTGCACTGCCTGCCGGGGAACCTTCGCGGAAACCTGCTACAACACCCCCGCCGATCCGAGCTGCTCGAGGTACGCGCAAGTCCCGCTCTTCAGCCTTTTCCTTCTCCACCTTCTCCACCTTCTCCACCTTCGCCACCTTCTCCACCTTCTCCACCCATCGTTTACCAACCTTCCTTCGCCACCCTTCCCGCCACTTCCCTGGCCCTCCCCTCGCTACCGGGCGCGCCTCCGTCGTTGTTCGAATCACTCCTTTACGCCGTCTCCGTTCTCCCGCTCCCCTCCACGCTTGCCAGGTGGTGTTGGATCTCGGCCGTCGACCGGAGGCGCGCTTTCTGGGCGACGGCGGGGCGGAGTATCTGCAGGAGGCGGAGGTAAGGAGGATTTCGCGAGCTAGGCTGGTACAGGGAAGGCTGCGAGAACCTGCTGAGGTGGGGGGATCAAGAGGCGCGCTTTCTGGGCGACAGGGGAGCTGAGTACGTGCAAGAGGCGGACGTGAGGAGGAATGGGAGTGGTGAGGGGCTCTAGGAGGGAAGAAAGGAAGTGGAGCAGGGAGTTTGCGATAATCAATTATGTGCCAGCAAGGACGCGACAAATTGCTGACGTGTGCGTGCTTTACTTGCTCGGCTGACGTGGCGCAGGTCACCCGCGCGGACCTCGAATCCGCGTGCGAGTCCATCGGCGCGTTTGGCGGCGACAACCGCGCGGGCGTGGAGGGCACGCTGCACCGCATCAGCGCCATCCGCAACCGCAAGGGTGACGTGGTCGGGCTGACGTGTCGCGTCGGCCGCGCTGTCACCGGCCACGTGGACATGGTCCGTGACCTGCTGCACCACGGGCAGAGCCTGCTGTTTCTCGGAAGGTACCTAATACCTAGAAAGGGCCCTTACCGATTTACTTATGGAGGCTGCTCCGGTTATTCTTAGAAGCATGACGTGGGAGATTCACCTCCGAAATTGCTCCTAAGTAGTAGGCGAAGTGCCATTATATTTCCTTCTTTCTTCTTTCTCCTCCGAAGATGCACCTCCGAAATTGCTCCTCTTGTTCCTAAGAGTAGTAGGCGAAGTGCCATTATATTTCCTTCCTTCTCTACTACTTCCGCCGCCTCCTCAAGCAAGAATCTCCGCCTCCCGCCCCTGCTTATTCTCGTGCAGGCCTGGTGTCGGGAAGACAACGGTGATCCGCGAGATAGCGCGAGTATTGGCTGACGGGATGCACAAGCGCGTGGCGGTAGCGGACTCGAGCAACGAGACCCAGGTGTTCTCAAAGCGGTTCTTCCCCCTCTTCTCCCGTCTCCTGCTAGGCCTGGCGTCGGGCAGATAGGAGTCTAGTTTTGAGGCGCCTCATAACACGAGCAACGAGACCCAGGTGTTCACTAAGCGGTTCTTCCCCCTCTTCTCCCGTCTCCTGCTAGGCCTGGCGTCGGGCAGACGACCGTCATCCGGGAGATAGCTCGGGTACTAGCCCACGAGATGCACAAGAGGGTGGTGATCGTGGACACGAGCATCGAGATCGGCGGGGACGGGGACGTGCCGCACCCCGCGACTGGAGGTGTTTTGGCCCAATCAGACCCTGCCTCCCACCTCTCCCATGCCTCTCCCATGCCTGTCCCTCCCATGCCTCTCCCTTCCAGGCCCGGTGTTGGGAAGACGACCGTTATACGGGAAATAGCTCGGGTATTGGCCGACGAGATGCACAAGCGCGTGGTGATCGTGGACACGAGCAACGAGATCGGCGGGGACGGGGACGTGCCGCACCCCGCGATTGGCAATGCGCGGCGCATGCAGGTGCCCGACCCCGCGCAGCAGCACAGAGTGATGGTGGAGGCCGTGGAGAACCACATGCCGCAGGTGAGAGAAGCTCACAGCGCAGGGGAGCCCAAGACGTACGCGTGTGTGGGCTGCATGCTGACTTTGTGGTTGCATCCTGGTGTGCGGGCTCAGTAGGAGGCGCATGCAGGTGCCCGACCCCGCGCAGCAGCACCGGGTGATCGTGGAAGCTGTGGAGAAGCACATGCCGCAGGTGAGAGGGTGATGTCTGTAGGTTGGGATGGGGATGGGGAGGGTGATGTCATGCCATTGATCTGGGCGATTGTTTAGGTTTGAGTGACTTGCACAGACCTACACCCTCTCTGTGACTGACTGTACGCAGGTGGTGATTGTGGACGAGATCGGCACAGAGGCGGAGGCCCTGGCGTGCACGACGAAAGCGGAGAGGGGAGGGAAGCTGGTGGGCACGAAGGAACATGCCACCAAACCCACCCCCCCCTCCCCCCCGGAAATCCCTCCCTTCCCTCCACACCTCTTGGTGTACCCTCTCCCTCTGGCCGTGACTGCGCGCAGGTGGTGATTGTGGACGAGATCGGCACGGAAGCAGAGGCGCTGGCGTGCAGGACGATAGCGGAGAGGGGAGTGATGCTGGTGGGCACGGCGCACGGGCAGCTGCTGGAGAATCTTATCAAGAACCCCACGCTCTGCGACCTGGTGAGAGACGCTGACCTCAATCTGCTGGGATCTGGCATTGCACTGTGTGGCCTGGTGACTTTTGAGTCGACCCAAAAGTCACCCTGTGCGTATTAGCCGGTGATGCTGGTGGGCACGGCGCACGGGCAGCTGCTCGAGAACCTTATCAAGAACCCCACGCTCTGCGACCTGGTGAGAGACTGAGCTCAATCTGTAACGTGGTAACCCTGTGTGTCTCGATTGGTGTTACTGGTGCCGCCCAGTTTCTGAGACAACTCTAAAGCTGCTGGAATTCCACATCCGCTACGGCGCCGCACAGCTCCCATCTCTGCCATCCCCATACCCCCTGTGCCCTGTATACCCGCCTCCCTTTCCCCGCACCTCGCAGGTGGGCGGGGTGCAGACAGTGACTCTGGGGGGCGAAGAAGCAAGGTCAAGGGGCACACAGAAGGCCGTGCTGGAGAGAACAGCGCCGCCCACGTTCCCTCTCTTATTCTTGTGTCTACCTAACCCACTCTCCTCTGCTGCGTTCCTAGGTCGGGGGAGTGCAGACGGTGACCCTGGGGGACGAGGAGGCGCGGTCACGAGGTACACAGAAGAGCGTGCTGGAGAGAACAGCGCCGCCCACCTTCCCTGTGCTGATAGAGATGCGCGAGAGGCACTTCTGGGTGGCGCACCAGGTGCGTGTGTGCAGGATAATTGGTCCTCTGTGTTACAGAGACGTAGAATAATGTGCGGAGAGAAAGCCAGATGCGTGTCTACAGGATAATTAGTAACCCCGAAGCTCATCACCACACGGCCCACCTTCCCTGTGCTGATAGAAACGCGTGGCCCAATGAGTATCTCCCGAATGAGTATCTCCCTCGTCCCCTTCCCCTCCAGACTGTTGAGTCGACTCGAAAGTGTCTCCCTCAATTCCCCTTCTCGTCACCTTCCCCTCCAGACTGACAGGAGCGCGGATGCTCTAATGCATGGCAAGCGCACCCAGGTAGAGCTGCGAACATGGGACCAATCGTTCCAAGTGTTGTTCCCCCCTCCCCCACCGCCCCCCCATCCACCCCTTCCCCACAGACTGACAGGAGCGTGGACGCTCTGCTGCACGGGAAGCGCCCCCAAGTGGAGGTGCGCACGCGGGACGAGTCCTTCCAAGTCACCATCGACCGCCGGCTCTACGACCGCAACGGCACCTCCTCCCCCTCCTCTTCCTCTTCTGCCGACCCTAGTAGCAGAGCGGGCGGCATGGGGGAGCGAGTAGGGGGCAACATGGGGGGGAGCATGTTTGGGGGGGGGAGTGCTGGGGGTGGCGTGGTGCTGGGAGGGAGGGAGAGGGACCTGTACTGGATGGCGGGGAGTGATGACGAGGGCTTTGACTGGATGGAAGGGGGCACGAGTACGCGGTACGAGTTTAGTTATGGGAGAAACAGCAGCAGCAGCAGTGGTGGTGGGAGTGGTAAGGGGTCGGTGCGAGGGGTGGAGGCTGAGCAGACGTACTCCTGGGCTGCTAAATTGGGTGAGTGTGTCTGGATGGTTGGGAGTGATGATGAGGGGTGTGAATGGATGCGAGGGGGGGCGAACACACTGTATGAGTTAACCTATGGAGGAACCGCGGTGGGAATGGTGGTTAGGGGTTGGTGCGAGGGGTGGAAGCCGAGCAGACATACTCCTGGGCTGCAAAATAGAGCATAACACACATCCACAGCCTCAGATTGCTCTCTGCAGACGCAGGGTTCAGGGTGAAGGCAGAATCGATGTGGGTGATGATGGCTGGCTGGTAGGAGGAGTGCTCAGCTTCATGTCTTAGCGCCTTTTGAGGCGCCTGAGAAATGGTATCAGTTCACGCGGCTTTGGAGGCGCCTCAGAAATGGTATTGGTGCACTCAGCTTTTTAGACGCCTCAAGAACTGGTACGGAAGATGTGCTGACCTACTTGTCTTCTCTCTTGCTCCATCCGTGCAGGCTATGTCCCGGACAAGGACGCATTGATGGAAGCCAATGCCAGTTCCCCACGCAACAACACCACCAGAAGCAGCAGCAGCAGCAGCAGCAGGCCCCCTCCATCCCCCCCTCCGTCCTCCTCTCAGACAACCTACTCGTGGACGGATTTCGACGAGGATTTCCACTATGTGGGTGGGAGGGGCGCTGGTGGGGGGTATTCTGGGTCGGGTGCGCCCGGAAAGAGGGGCAGCAGGCGGGGGCCCAGGGGAGTTCGCCCTCGCTGAGTGCTGCAATGGTGATCGGCCGGGAGCCGGCCGACAAGAGAGAGCTTTTGGTCCCTGAGCACCCCATGTGTTATGCCGTGGGGCATCAAGAGGCTGCCACTCACTTGGTCCAACTGCTGCTGCGATGCTCTGTGAGAGCACTGGATGCATCAGCAGCATCCCAAGTCTGTGCAGTCTGGGTCACTCTCATTCGCAGCCGCCTGTTCCGTGCGCTCTTACCAACACCCTGTGTAGTATAGGGCACCACTGTAACTCGCAACCTGCCGACACACACAACTCCTCACCTGTACATGCCATGTCTCTATTGTCTTTCCAAGCCTGTTGGCACCTGGGTCCAACTGCAAAGATTTCCTTGTAGCTTCATCAGCAGCTTCATGCCACCTCCACTGTGTCTGCACACACACATGACAATCTCTCCCCCACTGCCAGTACCTGTATATTGACACACTTCAACCCTTCAGCCTGCGCATCTGTATTAATACGCATCTCGCTCTATCAACGCTTCGCGTATTAGCAACCCTCTGTATCTTATAGTATAAGCTCTTGGAACTCATGCTTCCAGGTTTGCTGAAATGATTATATTTCAGTAAGTCTAAGAGTAGAGAGTGAGTAGCATATTGAATCAAGTTTGTAATGCGGGAATGATTGAGTATAGACAGCATGGAATCACTGTTGAAATTATATTTTACATATATAATTGTAGGCTTGGTAGATCTTGCTGGATACTACTGTAGAGGGTACAACTCCCTCCTTGTATCCCTCTTTTCTACTCTCCTCTCTTCTCTCTCGACATTTTTCCTCCTAGCTAAACCCACTCACGCCATTCCATAGGTCCTTTCCAAGCCTAGCTTGTTCAACAGTCTAGACAGCTCTATTTCTAAAACTTGTTTATGGCGTTGCTTACTATCATACGCGACAAGGGACAAGGATCTGCAGAGTGAGGTTTGCGGGATTATTTCAGTATATGAACATTCGATATAAACAACAGCAGAGCCTGAGAGGCCTTGTGAGCCCTCCTGTATGCGCTGTTAGTGCCCAACAGCGGGTATATTGAACGCTGGAAATTCCCCTACCACATTACGTATTGCGTAACATAACACTACCGTATGTAGAATGCTGTACCCTACATACCATGGGGCTGAGCAGCCCTCCTTATCATAGAGATTCTCCTACTGCTACGCTGTCCATTCCCTTTATTAGCAGCTTCATCTAGAGGGCGGCAGCCACGACACCGGCGAGGAGCATCAAGCCAGCCGAAACCAGATTCGATGCAGCGCCCTTCACGCCAGGAGGAGCCATCGCGGTCGCAGGAAGGCCCGCGGACCTGGCGGGTCTGTCGGGGGTGGCGGAACCAGCGGGAGTGTCGTCGGTCGGGGGACCCGCGAGTGTGTTGGGCTTGTCCTTCCCCCCGCCGGGGGTGGCGGGGGCGGTGGGCGGAAGCTCCGGCGCGGCGGTGGCGGGGAGGGGCGCGCGCTTGAAGGGCACGGTGGTGACGGAGTAGGGGAAGTCCGCGCAGATGGCGGCGGCGGGCTTGCGCCCGATGATGTCCGCCGTGTTGGTGAGGTTGACCGCGCCCTTGGGGCACTTGCGGGGGACATTGAGCGGATCGCAGCAGAGCGGCGTGGCGGGAACCTGCTCGGGGCCGCCGTAGCAACCCACGTCCTGAAAAGGGAGAGAGGAAAGCGACGAATGGCAGGGTTTAGACGGAGGTGACTCTTGAGTCGGTTCAAGAGAGAGAGACTCTAAAAAATGCTGGGAGATATAGAATGCTTGCTTACACTGATGGTGGCGTTGAAGTTGGGAACGGCGGAGCCTATAACGGGGACGAGCACGGACTGAATCAGATCCGCGGGCGTGAAGAGGAAATCGCCCACCTTGAGCTCGCCCACTGCCACAAAGGAATCGGAATCGTAGGAGAGATAGCAAAAACTGAGATTAGGGTAAGAATAGCTGCGAAGGGGAAAGGAAAGCGGAGAGGACGCGCGGAAGGTGAGTGATGGGTGCGTTGCGAAGCGGTTGTGTGTGGGTGAAGATGAAACGTAAAGATGAAACCAGGGGTCGTAACTTACGCGAGAGGCTGCCGCACGCGTCGTAGACCTGCTGCGCGAAGGCGGAGCAGACGTTGAGGATGGGCGCGCCGCTGGCCTTGCTGAAGTAGTTGCCCGAGTCTGGTGAAGGTTAGGGGGAGGAGAAAGCGCACAGAGCGGGGGAAGGCCGTTAGAAGCAGAAACGGGTGGGACGAGGGAGAAAGCTTGGGGTCGCGTCAACGGACAATCTGGGCTGGGTTTTTTTATCTTCGATACCGTGTTGATTCGTGTGAGTTGTGGTGATCATCATCGCACGCAACTCACCAGGATTGCAGCTGACGGCGCACACGAATTGCTCAACCAGCAATTCGCACGTCTCCGAGCCCTTGAACAGCCCGCACACGTCGGCCGGCACGCCGAGCTGGGTCCCCATACCACCCGTGTTCGCGTCAACGACCGACGTCACATTAGTAGCCAGCGCGCGAATCGCGTAGTTAAGGTCGAAGCAGTCCTGGCAGCACGAAAGTTTTGCCGCGGCCGGGCATCGCGTGTGGATGACCTTTGCGGGTTTGGGGAGTTTCCCCGTGAGTGGACATTTTGGGTAGGGTTGCGCGGATGCCAGTGGGAGGAGGACAAGGAGGAGCAGTGCAGCGCGGGAGATGGCCATGGTGGACTGAGGCCTGTCGAACAATGTCCTCCTCCAAATCAAAGGAACAGAAATGGCCGGATAACAACAGACCTGATTTAGCAGAAGAATGGACAGTGCTTGCAGTGGGTTCGACTCCAAAACCGTGGTTTGATGGGAATATGAATGCTTGCTATGAGGGGGTGAGAGCTTTGATCTCACTTTGCCTGAGGCACGCAGTGGGGGATGGGATGGGGTGGAAAACCGATTTGGTCTCTCGCCGCGGGGGAGAATTTCGAAAGCGGCGAAAATTCTCGTGCGGCACGGCTAATGCGGAACGCGCCTCGGCCAACGATTTGGTTCGGGAAATGGGTTTCGTTGAACTGGTTTGATCCGCCTCCCTGATATGGTTGCCGAAAGTTTTTGGCGGCCCCCGTTTGGTTCGGGCCCGGGCTGCGAAAGTCTGGGTGGCTTTGGAAGGCCAATGAAGTTCCGTGCGTTCGCTCGCGCGGGCAGCGGGGTCCGTTTTCGCCTTGCGAACCGCGAAAGTAGCCGTCGCATGCAGGCGACTTCGCCTAGCTGGTGGCGAAAGTGTCGCTGCGCCTTTGAACGGCGGTATGGAGAACCGAACGGGCAAGAGCACCTGTCAGCGGCCAAAAAGAAATGCTGCGAGGGGTATGGCAGATGTCTTGTCTTGGAGCTACTGCAAATCCGGGCAACATGATCATGAAACGAAGCCCACGGTCAGGATAAACGTCAACCTGCAATAAAGGGCTCGCGACAACCCACAATCGCATCAATTGGCGGGAAATGACTCGTGATGAGAAGGAAAATCCTCCTTATTAGTGGTTGCTACCAACCACATCAACGTGATAAATGCATACACTATAAACCTAGTTCGTGCATCAGCATTAACCAAGCAGCCATTGCTTACAAGACCTTGAAAATGTGCATAAATTTCTCGAGTGTTCGCTACGAACAAAACAAGGACGAATCGGCTCAGTTTGTGTAAGGGTTGCAACCAATCTGTGGAATAAGTGGCCCTAAGTTTGTGGCAAGAAAATGGTACATGGCACTAACATCTTCAGCAGCTAGACGCACAACAAGAAGATCATCCTGCCAATGAGATGCAGTGAATGCAATGGAGATAGAGAGAACGAAAAGGATGTGCATGGATAGGAATATAAACGGTAAACGAATAAGAAACCAACTAGGTTGACGTGTTCGACTGCAACAGGAGAGAAAACCATGGAATGATCTACTTGTAAGCATACAAGTACAGTTGAGAACACTTACATGTCCCATGTCGGACGAACACCCCCACACTGTAGTCTCCACAGCACCACCTGCTACTGCAGAAGCACTCGCTTCTGGAGTAGCACTAGGAGCAAACGGGCCACGCACTCCCGATGTAACAGAAGGGACACTGGCGGCAGTAGGGGCAGGCGCAGAGGAGTAGCTCCGGCTCTTTCTGGGGTTGAACGCTGCAGCTGCTGCTTGTGCCACCGCTGCCTTCAGGTGGGCTCGTAAAGCCTCTGTGCGTGGGCTGGATGGGGGAATGGGGGGGAGAGGGGGGAGAGGGGGGAGAGGGGGGGTGGAGACACTGGTGACACAAGTGGCGGGCACAGAGGCGTAGCTCCGCTCCTTCTGGGGTTGAAAGCTGCAGCTGCTGCAACGCCACCGCTGCCTTCAGGTGGGCTCTTAGACCCTCCGTGCGTGGACTGGATGGGGGAAGGGGGGGTGAGGGGAAGGGGTGGGGGGAGGGGTGTATAGGGCATGTTGTGGGTAGGGGTGGAGAGTGGGGGAACGACGAATGGGGGACAGCAAGAGTGGGACGGGGGGGGAAAGGAGGTGATTTCCATGCAAGAATCACTCAATATGTGGCGATCAGACTAAATTAGGAACACCCGTTAATATCAAGGGTGGTCCTGCACTCACCCCAGGATGATGATGGTCGTGAGCACATGGATGCCCTTCAGCTGCTGTCCAGGTGGCACCACCGCATTGGCTGACAGCTTCACCTGCAGCGTGGGAGTCGGACGAACAGAGGCCCAGGATGCACCATTTCTCCAACAGAAGTTCGGTAACAATAGCTAACTAACTACATGTCTGATGACGCCAGCAATTAATACCGTTAAAAATGCATCAAACCAACCTTGTCGAAGACTAGAGGAATCTCCTCTCCCTCCTGGTACACTCGGTTACAACTCTCGTAACACTCCATCTCCCAAACCTCCCCTCGGTCCCTCCGTCCACTCGTCAGCCAGTCGACCAGTACGAGGCTGCCACCTGGTGCCACGTGGATGCTCTGCAGCTGCTGATACTGCGCCGCACGGAAGCACGTGATTGGCTCAGGCAGGACCGCCAGCAAGGCGCCAGGCTGGATGGACGTGGTGATGAGCTGGCGGGCTGGTGGGGTGCCTGGGGAGCAGGAGAGGGAAAGGAGGTCAGAGAAGGGGAGGGGGATGGGGGAAAGGTGGGGAAGGAAAAGAGGGTGATTGAAAGAAGAGAAGTTGGAGACTGGAGCAGGAATCAGAGGGAATAGGGGCAGGCAGGAGGGAGGGGAGGGTAGTGACAGGAGAATAGAAGAAACAACTCGATGGCTGGCAGGTACATTCTTCCAGCTCGGCCACCTTTTGAGTAGGCAGACGCGGTTGTCCCCATGTGCTGCAGATCACCTTCGCTCACTCACTGGGCTAAGATCTTCAGCGCCTCACTCACCGGGCACAGAGTGGAAGATCTTGGTGGATGCCTGCGATGCGAATACTGCTGTGGCGCCTGAGTGAGTGAAACAGGAGGGGAGTCACCCTGTCACCTGACACACCTGGCAACAGGCAGCTTGACTTGACTCGCCTTACCTAGTTTTGAGGCGCCTCAAAACCTGGCAACAGGCAGCTTGACTTGAGTCGCCTTACCCGGCATGGAGTGGAAGATCTTGGTGGACGCCTGCGATGCGAATACTGCCGTGGCGCCTGACTGCACCACACAGGATAGAGTCACCCTGTCGCCCGCCACTATGCCGCCCCCGTATGTGATGATGTACGCCCACACTGCGTCCACGCCTGAGGCAGCAACCTGAACGAGAGGGGAAGAGGGCGGACGGGAGGAGGGGGACTAAAGTATCTCCTGCCACTATGACCCCCCCTAGGTGATGATGTATGCCCGCACTGCATCAGCACCAGGCATCGACCTGCGTCCACTCTACACTGCATCAATGGGTGGTCTCCCAATGGTTTGCCACCACCCTGAATGGTTTCCCAGTGGTTTGCCACCACCCTGTGTGCCGGTGGACGGTGGACGGTAAACGGTGGACGGTGGACGCCCGTCCACAGGTGGACGGAGGACGGTGGACGGTGGACGGTGGTCACGTGTCCATCGGTGGACGGTGGACAGTGGACGCGCGGTCCACCGGTGGACGGAGGACGGTGGACGGTGGATGGTGACGGTGGACGGAGGACGGTGGACGGTGGATGGTGACGGTGGACGGAGGACGGTGGACTGTGGATGATGGACGGTGGACGCGCGTCCACATGTGGACGGTGGACAGTGGTCGCGTGTCCACCAGGGGACGGTCACGGTGGACGCGCCACCGATGGACGGTGGACGGTGGGCGCGTATCCACTGATGGACGGTGGACGGTGGACGGTGGACGGTGGACGGCAGACGCGCGTCCACCGGTGGATGGTGGACAGTGGAGGGTTTACGGTGGACGCGCCACCTGTTGACGGTGGACGGTGGATGGTGGACGCGCGTCCACCGGTGGACGATGGGTCTCACCTCCCAAGGTCTCACTTCCCAAGGTCTCACTTCCCAAGGTCTCACTTCCCAAGGTCTCACTTCCAAAGCTCTCACTTCCCCAGGTCTCAGTTCCCAAGGTCTCACCTCCCAAGGTCTCACTTCCCAAGGTCTCACCTAACAAGGTCGCACTTCACAAGGTCTCACCTAACAAGGTCGCACTTCACAAGGTCTCACCTAACTTGGTCGCACTTCCCAAGGTCTCACTTCACAAGGTCTTACCTAACAAGGTCGCACTTCACAAGGTCTCACCTAACTTGGTCGCACTTCACAAGGTCTCGCCTAACAAGTTCGCACTTCACAAGGTCTCACTTCCCAGTTCTCACTTCCCAAGGTCTCGCTTCCCTTGGTCTCACTTCCCAAGGTCCCACAATGCTTCCCGGGGACACTATGGTTTCCCCCCGACTCACGATACCCCCCGGGTCACTACCCGTTGGCTCACTATTCCTTGTCATGAGTACCTTGTTGGGCAGCATGATCTTGAGCGGGTAGCGACAGGAGCTCTTCGTTGCCGTGCTGTGCGTGTCTCATTGCACAGGCCACCTATGTTCTGCTCCAGCATACCTAGGCAGCAATGCCAATCCTTGCAAGACGTACCTTAGAAGGCAGCATGATCTTGAGCGGGTAGCGACAGAAGCTTCTTGTTGCTGTGCTGCGGCCGCCCACCAGCTGCACCACCAGCACTCCAGTCCAATCCATACCGCCCGCGTGCCCCGCTGTGTGCACACTGCCACGCCCACTGCCCAATCGATGAATTCCACCTTCTTCCCTACCTGCTCCCTGCATCTCTCCTTGTGTCTGCCCACCTCTCTGCCCTCTCTGACCCACTCTCTGCCCGTCTCTCTGCCCCTCTGTTGCTACCTTCGTCTGTCCGCCTGTCACGCCCGTCCCCTCGGCCTGTGCATCAGCTCGTCCCCCCGCCATCGCCTCACTCTCTTCCTTCCCTCCACTTGCACCGGCCTGCATCTGACCTTGTGTCAATCTCTCTGTCTGTCCCTTTGTTGCTCCCTTAGTCTGTCCCTGTGCTGCGCCCGTCCCCTCAGCCTGCGCATCAGCTTGTCCCTCCTCCTTTGCCTCCCTCTCTTCCATCTCGCAACCTGAGACGGCCTGGATTCGGCCCCTCACGAGAGGAAGAGTCTGCTAGTACGGGCTGCGTGCCCTGCTTGAATAATCTGCACCATACAGCTCACTTGACACGCTTGGTCAACACTGGTCAACACCGGTCAACGCTGGTCAACGCTGTAATTACGAGAGGAAGAGTCTGCTGGTGAGGGCAGCATGCCCGGCCTGAATGATCTCCACCATGGGGCTCACTTGGCACGCTGCGTCCAAGGGCAAGGGGGCAGTGCACGCATCCACAGCCCCTACTCCAGACCCCTCCA